TACTGATTTAGGAGGATAAGTTCACAGCTCTTCGCATGTATGTTACTAGACACACACATGGCACCTATAATCTTCCACCAAAGACCATTGAGGACCACCCTTCCATTGTTCTCCATCCCCACCATCTAGTGACCTCCTTTCTATAGTCATTGTTTCTAAGATTTTTTGGTTTAGTTTTATTCTTTACATTCCACATATAAGTGAAATCATCTGGCATATTTGTCTTTCTCCTGACAGAAGTCTCAACGGATTGCCTTTGATCCCTGTATCGAGGGTAAATTAATTTCCCTAAAATGGCCTGTGGTGTCAGGGTTGATCACATTCCTTATTCTTTACTGATAGACCTGGAACTCTTTAATTAAAACAAGGCATTCAGTGGGTTTTTTTCTTTGAAGATTGAGATTGGGTGGAATTCCTGATAGCAGCCTGATCTCCAGTATGATATTTTGGTGAAAGCCTTGTAATAGAACCATATTTCCAGTAGTCTACCATAGAGAAAAAGTCTGAATCAGTTTATGCAAATAAACCCATTGCCTGGAGAAATGAGAACACAAAAACTTTCCTGCATTTTTGGGAGGTGTCAGAGTAGCAAATGATTTAGTTTTGTTCACAAAAGGAATTAACATTAATGAAGGTTGTAGCTCAAGAAAAGGAAGTTTTCTTGGTTGCCATATCTCATGGAAACTTTGAGTTTGGAAGTCTGGTCTTTTTTTATTATCAAATTATTTTTTAAGGAGTTATGTGCTTGATTTAAAAGGTAATTTTTACTGTGAAAAAACATGAAAAGTTAATCGCAGGAAATTTGACAATATAAAGCCAAAATTCACCTAAAGTAGAGTACCCATAGAAAATACCTAAGATACTTTTGCTTTAAGCACATTTTTGGTACCAGTTTTTATATTGTCCTAGTTCCATGTTGTACATACTGCTGCGTTTTAAATTTTAAATATCATTCCCATTTTAAAATTTGTTCTCTAAATGTGGCAGTTGCTAATAATTAGAATACTGTTATTAGAAATCTGTTTTACAAAAATCCACACTGAATATAAAAATTGAACTCACTGTGCTTGCAACTTTTTATTTGATATCTGGTGTGTTTAAGACTATTAAGCCTGATGTTTAAGCAGATCAGAACAGTCTATTTCTTTCTTCCCTAGCATTTTAGTATTTCGAAAGTTAGGAAAAGTTGGTATGTCCTATGACACCTTCAAGCTTACTCCAACATATGAACTTCATGATCCATGAGACTACCTTAAAGGTCTCATTTAGAAAAGTTCCAGTTCTGTCATTAATTTTTAAGACTTAGTGAGTGATTACAAAGCAAAGACCCTCTCAACTACCCGCGTTAAGAAAAAAAGATTGACATTATCGGATGACCCCATGACAGCCAGGAAACTGTCCTGAAGTAAATTGGAGTGTCATTTAAAGGAAGAAAATGTGGTGTAGTGATTTATATCCAACAAAACTGACTTAAAATATATAAGGGACACAGGCAAACTGTTACTAATGTGTAAGATCTGAGAAAAATGTAACATCTAGTCTTCTGAGTTCTTAGCATCATCAGATAAATTCGAGACACTTTAATAACTAGTGAGGTGTAAAAATAAAACTTTTAAGAACATCACAGAAAGATAGTGCCTATATACAATCTTAACCAAATGTCACACGAATCTGATCAAGCCTCTGGGCCCAACTTCAGTGTCAGGAAATACAGAAGGCAAGAGAATATATGGAGTTGTACTAAGAATGTGACGTTCCGGAAAACCTAGACTGGGAAACTGCAGTTCAAATGTCCTATTTGTGAATAGATAATACACAGTAAAGGGATGAAAGGATAACAGGCCTTGAAGACAGGTGATTGGTTTCAAATAGACAAGGTCACTCTAGGTGACAAATTATTTAAAATGGAAGAAAGTGATAATTGCTAGGAAAGACTTTGGGGTGGAAAAATAATGAAAATGGAATGGTATACATGGGACTTTACATTTTCATGTTATACATGGGACTTCTGAATTTTGAGATTTTTGCTCTAGTACCTTCACACATTTTCACTACCATCTTTGTACTCATGCTCTTATGGGAGCAGGTAAAAATTAGTTCATCTGCATTTCTAAAAGTTGGTTCTTGCTGTTAACTAGTAAAAAACTAGCTGGATATTTTTGGGTAATTTCTAGGTCTTGTAGACACCTTCTAGTTTTTTCCTTCTTGCATTATTATCGATAGGTACCATGCTTGTTGCCCTGGGCTTACCCTTACATTGGTTTTGTTTTTTCCTCATTTTTCACATCACTTACCTAGTTGCTTTTTTAGATGAGGAATCAGGAAACTATGTTCTGTTACTGCTTTTTTCCAAGACTTTCGGTTCTTATCCAATAGCTCTTGTTGCATTTGAGGAATTCACCATTTTCTCCCTTAATAGAGTTTTCATTTGTAAGGTACTTCGTATCAGAGGTAGGATAATTATGAACTGAGATCATTTCGATTTTTTTTTTTTAAGATTTATTTATGCATACAGAACTGGGGTACAGGCCAGAGGTGCAGGGGCAGTGAGAGGATTCACCAGAGACAGAGTGGGGAGCAGACCAGGCAGATCGACGAAGTACACTGCTGAGGGGAACATTGGGTCCGTCAGGAGAGGTCTTGCTCACCATGTGAATCACCTCCATAGCAAGGGTTGAAGTCATGCTGAAGTGGCCTTTAGCTTTTTAGTGCTGTGCTTTAACCCACTACGCCATCAAGAAAGGCCCATTTGGTTATTTTTAAAACTTTGAGAAATCCATTCTTCAATAAAATTCAAAGCAGAGGTACCTCTGGAATGTAAACTGATGATACATCTATTCCTTTGTGTTCCCTTCAATGGCTGGTGATGGAGCCTACTATTTAGGAGATGCTTAAATGTTTTAAGAGATGCTTACATGTTCAGTGGAAATACATATTAATTTGTAGTGCTTCTTTGTTAAATTTTTTAGTAGAATGTTAATCCCCCTACATTTGGGATTAATGGTTGTCTTTACTGTTGTTGGTATCTTGATGAATTCCTTTTGGTAAGTGTGGACATTGAAGATTATTCCATTGTGTTTACCAAGCTTTTAAAGTTTTTGCACTAACAATTCATGGTTTTTTTAATAGCACATTTAGAAACCACATATAAAGCAAATAAGAAATAAAATCATAACCCTTAAATTCAAAGATCACCTTTCCTCTCTGTATTTGGATACTGGATGTCTCTCTAACAGCCATTTCAAATGGACTTTCTAGAAAGAATTAAATCCTTATGCCTTGTCTTTATTTCTATGTAATGAACTCCCTTCTCTGTGTCTAGATTGTTATACACCATCCTTGTGAGAAATTGAAGATATTTAAATCCTTTTCTGTTCTGTTCAAAGTTCTGGGTCTCATGTTTGGTATGATGGTGAAATGTAGAATGACTATCTTTCTTCCTACAGTTCATTAACGTTAAACCCCACAGTATTTTGCTTCTACTTGTTATTGAGATGCTTATTGTTTGCTTAAAACTAGCTTGTATCCCCACTTGTTTAAAATAGCGACTTTAATAGCTAACAGTAATATCTGAAACCAATCAAGGCTTTTAGTAGGATTATTTTATTCCTTTTGACATTGTAAGTTTTTATGCTATTCAGAAGTTGAAAGGCTGTTGATTCTCAGCGACTACTGTTGGCATGGTTACTTTTCACTACTTAGTTTTAAAAAAGATTAAGTACTACTCAAAAAGAGAGCTTAGAAACGGATTCTAGAATTTTAGAACCTTTAGGAAAAAAATAGTTGACACTTTTAAATCAGTATGTTTATGTGACATGACTAGGTTTTTTTTTAAGGGTCACAATGGTAGTGGTCATGTATAAATGCCATACTACCTGTTTTATGCTTATATGACATTTTTAATTCATGAAAATCCATTTATCATGGTTCAGTTGGCAATTAGATAACAGATTCTAGACAATGGTATGTTTTGATTTGAGGTTCTTTAGTAGCTTTTAAAGGGCCGTTGAGAAATAACCTTAAGAATGTTACCTGAAATTGTTGGAGTGGATATTTAAATAAAAGCTAAAAGAATGTCCAAAACTTTTCCCTTAAAAAAACCTAAGAGGATATTATTGTGAGTCTCCATGTAATGATAGATTTGAACCCTCCATAACATAAAAAAAAAAAATTACTTTAGTTTGAAAAAATATGAGGGGGAGAAGTTACATTCTCTTCCTTAGTTCTTTTGATTCTTGATGCATGCTGTGTACTACTTGAAATTTTATCATCATTATCATTCAGTATTTTTAAGTGGTAAAGCTCAATTTTGTATATTATCACATGAAAAATTGAGTGTGCAGAAAATATGGTATTGGTTAAACTATCTGACATGTATGTATCAATTGAAATACATGGAAATAGATATTCCCAAAGTGATTTAATTGGTTAATTTATTGCCATTTTATAAGATTAATTGTATTTAAAAGCTACAGTGTCACTTGTCTACCAAAGAATGGTTATAGCATCATTTTGGGTTTTGTATATCCTTGGGAATGAGTGAGACTTAATTTTTGTGTAAGTAATGTACCAGAAAGCTAAGTTATTAATAGAGGCAGAGGAATGGTTGGCATGACTGAGAATGTGAAAAACATGCAGAAACTGATAGAGCACTTAGGTTTTTCTGACTTTCTCTAAAACACTTCAAAACATAGAGGGCTGAAATTAATGTCTAAGAAAGTTTTGTTACTAGTAAACTATGAAAAGAATATTTCCCCCCTTGAAATGGTAACCTCATATGCTGGACAGGACTAGAAAAAGGGAGGCTGAACATAAGACTTACGTTCAGAGATTTTAGGACTTTCTGAATAGTAATACAGTTATTACTGTGTGAAATCTCTTTATGTTGACTGATATACTCTAGATAGTCATGATGGTTTAAAATAAGAAAGTTTTATAAGGGTTATTTTATTTGTATTAGCATCCTTTTATCTGAATGTAGTTTTTTTTTTTCCTTCTAGTTTTTCAGCTTCGTGAGGAATCTTACCATCAAAGACAATGGCCAGCAATGTTACCAACAAGACGGATCCTCGCTCCATGAACTCCCGAGTATTCATTGGGAATCTCAATACGCTTGTGGTCAAGAAGTCTGATGTGGAAGCAATCTTCTCTAAATATGGCAAAATTGTGGGTTGCTCTGTTCATAAGGGCTTTGCCTTCGTTCAGTATGTTAATGAGCGAAATGCCCGCGCTGCTGTGGCAGGAGAAGATGGCAGAATGATTGCTGGCCAGGTTTTAGGTAAGGTTTGGGTTGAATTAATTTTTTTCATTGGTTATGTAATTCACTCAGTTTTTCTTTCAGTTTTCTCCATAAAATTATTAGTATGAGATGTCTGTATGGAATTTTAAGTCCAGTAAAACCATATAAAGTAGATAGGTATGTAATAGGTTAAATAGGGTTTTTACTTGTAAGTTGTTTTGTATAGGAGAGACTTGGGTAAACCTCGGGTAAGGTAGGTTGGGAATGGTGAGAATGATTTTTTTTTTTACATCATTTTGTGCATTTTTTTCATCTCGATTGTAATGTCCAAGAATGATTTGGTAATGTGCAGTTTTGCCTAAATGATTGGCCTATTGCTCACAGTGAGTTTAGGGTACACAATATAGGTTAATCACACGTTGGCACTGAAGTCAGATTGCTTACCTCTGTACTGGGACTTCACAGTTCTATGTGTTTTTTTGTTTTTTTAAGATTTACTTATTTATGCATACAGAACTGCTGGGGTACAGGCCAGAGGTGCAGGGGTGGTGAGAGGATTCACCAGAGAGAGAGTGGGAAGCAGAACAGGCTGACTGACAAAGTACACTGCTGAGGGGAGCAGCGGGTAGGTCAGGAGAGGTCTGCTGTGCCATGTGGGTCACCTCTGGGGTAGTGATCCAATTCATGCTAAAGTGGATTTAGCTTCTTAGTGTTGTGCTTTAACCTGCTGCGCCACCAGGCAGGATCCCACAGTTCTATGTATTGAGTAGCCATTGCAGCTTTGCTGAGCCTAATTTTTTTTCATATGTTAAAATGACAATAACTATGAAGTTTAATCCAGTATAAGTAATTTGTTATACTTAATCAAAAGTGCATACACAACATCTGTTTTAGAGCATAAGCTCTTTTAATGTTTTATGTATTAGTTCCCCCAATCTCTGGGTATCCTTGGTGATAATCAAATGTTGAATATCTAAGTATAGTTCAGGGTAATAGTTTATTGTATTTTTTACAAGTTCACATTACATACTATATTTATACTATTAGCCCATGAAGAAAACTACTGGTAAGAGTAGAATTCTTTCTCTTTAAATGTTTCTTTAATTGCCAGTTTCTGGATAGTAAAATTGGATAGTGACTGGATAGTGACTTGGAATAGCGTGTTTTCTTGGTTGTGAATATTAAAGAAACTAAGGCTTTATAAGACAAGTCCATTTCATATTGAATGTAACACTTTCTGTTTACAATGAAGCATTATTTTTTTTTAAGGTTTATTTATTTATTCATACAGAATTGGAGTACAGGCCAGAGATGCGGAGGGTGAGAGGATTCACCAGAGACAGAGTGGGGAGCAGAACAGGCAGATCAACGAAGTACACTGCTGAGGGGAGCAGCGGGCTGGTCAGGAGAGGTCTGCCACACCATGTGGTTACCTCCTGGGTAGGCGGGGATCAAACTCATGGGGAAGTGGCTTAGGCTTCTTTTGCAGTGCATTAACCCGCTGCACCACCAGGGAGGGCCTGAAGCATTATTTTTTTTAAAGAGTTATTTATGGGCCCTCCCTGGTGGCGCAGCGGGTTAAAGCACAGCACTGAGAATCTAAAGCCGCTTCCGCATGAGTTTGATTCCTGCCTGCCCTGGAGGTGACCACATGGTGTGGCAGACCTCTTCTGACCCACCCGCTGCTCCCCTCAGCAGTGTACTTCGTCATTCTGCCTGTTCTGTTCCCCACTCTGTCTCTGGTAAAGACTCTCACTGCCCCTGAGCCTCTGGCCTGTACCCCAGTTATGTATGCACAAATAAATAAATTAAAAAAAAAAGATTTATTTATGAATACAAAAATGGGGTACAAGCCAGAGGTACAGGGTAGTGAGATGATTCATCAGAGACAGTGGGGAGCAGAACAAGCAGATTGATGAAGTACACTGCTGAGGGGAGCAGAGGGTGGGTCAGGAGAGGCCTGCCACACCATGTGGATCACCTCAAGGGCAGAGGATCAAACTCTCACTAAAGTTGCTGCGGCCACCTTGCAGTGCTGTGTTCTTGCGCCACCAGGGAGTGCCAAGAAGCATGTTTTATGGAAATGTTTCTGCAGCTTTTGACAGTCATTTGGATGTTTGCTTGTGGTTTTTTGGTGATTAACTTTTAGACTAAAAAATTTATGTAATTTGTATTTATTTCATATATTAACAGTTCTCAAATGCTATTTTTAAAATCCCAGCCCCAGTGAGTTGGGAACAAAAATATTGGAATTTAGAGAACAAATACAAATAATCCTTGACATTTAAAATAAAATAGTTTAGAATGCCAACATTTTCACATGTGGTTTTTCTATACTTGAAAGTTCAAGAAAACAATATATAAGGATTTAGCATCTACAAGTGTGTGTGGTTGAATGGGCTAAAATTTTATATCTTACAGGGATTGTATGGGCTTAATGTCCCAGTTTTAGTAATATTAAAAATGATTTGTGAGTTCAGGTAAAGTTTCCTGTACATGGATTAATTTATGTCTTTAATTTTTTTTAAATTTCACGATTATCACTAATGATCATTGTTTAGGTATTTCATACAAACTTGCAAAATAGTGGGTTTCCTTATTCTGCATTTATTAACTAATTTTTCTTTCAAATTTTGAACCTTTAGCAACCTTTAAATGTAACTTAAATTTAGCAACCTTTAAATGTAATTATTGCTTTTAGTATCTTCATAAACTTACCTATTTTAAATCTGTATGTTTTAGAACACTGCAAATTATTCTAGAGCTCAAAATAATTCTTTAGTCAGTGGATTTTTACCTTCATGTTGCTTCCTGTGTCATTGTCCTTGCTGCTTTTCTTACTGTCTGGAATCGCATGATATCCCAGGTCATCTGGTATATTTCTTGACCTCATCCAAAAATTTGCCACTTTTTACTTACACCTCCTTTCAAAAGGAATTTAGAAACCACAGTCTGTATACCAGGAGTGCTTCTTGTTAATTGCTTATGTTAGTATCCGCAGATAGAAACTTTTTTTTTTCCCCAAAAAAGTAAACTTAAAAAAAAAAAAACAAAAAAAACAAGCATGTAATTCTTTCTATGTGTGCTTTTTGTGCCAGAGCTTCAAAATGATCTTTACCTACATTTTTACCAGAATGAAGATTACTGATGATTTTACATTTGGGGTTTCTTTTTTAAAAAAATACTGTATGTAATCTTCTGCTCTATAGAATCACTTGAAATGCCTTGATAGTTCTGTGTGATCAGATGCTTTTGGTATTTTATTTTTACATTTTAGAGTTTTTTAATTTGTACTGAGTTTAAATGTGAGTTTTAATTCACATTTGTTTTATAAATTATTTATCATCCCAAAGCCAAAACTGTAATAGCAAAATTGCTATAATCTTTTGATGATTAAAAATTTGAAATGAGGGAGCCTCTCTGGTGGCTCCGGCCAGGTGGTGACCCACATGGCTTGGCAGACCTTTCCTATATGACCTTTGTGCTCCCCTCAGCAGTGTATTTTACTCAGTCTGCCTGTTCTGCACCCTACCCCCTTGTTCCATTAGGCTACCCCCCAGTTCTTATATGCATAAAACAAATCTTTAAAAAGAATTTTTGAAATGACTTTAGTGAGTCTAGGGTTCTGAAGATTATTCGTACATTCAGTGTTTTTATTAAGTATACATGTATCACAAGTCTTGCTGTTGATGAACTGAGTTTTAGAGATCTAGCTTTTGGCTCAGTGACTTAGACTCTTGGGGAGAACAAGAGAAAACTCTTCTTACCTAGGTAAATGGATAACAAGATAACTGACTCTGGAACAAATACTTTAAAAATTGTTACATATGAAAACTAGAATGTTTTGTAGTCTGCTTTTCTTTTTTTGATTTTTACGTATACACACACACACACACACAGATAGGTTCTTAGGCAATTTGTTGCCTACATAACTTTATTTTTCTATTTTATTACATTATCAGTCACCTTTGTGTAGTTACTGCAGTTATTGCTCCCCTTGGGTGCATAGGGTTTCCTTTTCTTTTTTTTTTTTTTTAAAGATGTATTTATACAGAACTGGGGTACAGGCCAGAGCTGCAGGGCAATAAGAGGATTCACCAAGGACAGTGGGGAGAAGAACTGGCAGATGGACAAAGTACACTGCTGAGGGGTGCAGCAGGCAAGGCAGGAGAGTTCTGCGATACTTTCCTGCTCTGGGGCTGGGGATTGAGCTAGCACTGAAGCAACTGGGGCTCCCTTGCAGTGCTGAGCATTAACCAAACTCTGATCCACCAGGGAGAGCCCCTGGAGGGGGTTTCTTAACCAGCATTTTCTATGCAATTTTACATCTCGCTCTACATCTCTAGTTTGCCTTCAAGGATAATTTGCAAGTATCATTCTTGAATCACGTTGATTTATGAGACACTGTATTTTCTAAAATTCCTTAGGTTAATCAGTTGTTCTTAATGTAATTATGCTCATTTCAAGCAAGTAGAATTATTCCTGCAAAGGCAAATGTTAAATACATTGACTCTTCTTGTCCTAGTAACTGAGGGAAATAGTGTGTGATCTGCATTGTGCAGTTCAGTGAGGTGGAAGCTGAGGTTAGGACTTACAAAGACAATATGATTCTATTTTCAGGATCTTGATGTCAAGGTTTTGGGTTAGTTGGCAGGAGCGATGAGGAGAAAAACATCTATGAAGAAACCTTAGAACATAATAAATGAAGCATTAATTTCTAGCCTTGTAAGAAATTCTTGTGAGCCTTTTTTTATGTAAGAAAATATATAGATTGTTAAATCTTTGTTGGTTTATATGACTGAGTACATTTTTTGAATGTTATTTTTAAATTCCACCTCTTTTTCATCAATTATAATTAAAATCTTTGCTTTTACAGATATTAATCTGGCTGCAGAGCCAAAAGTGAACCGAGGAAAAGCAGGTGTGAAACGATCTGCAGCGGAGATGTACGGGTCAGTACCAGAACACCCTTCTCCGTCCCCTCTACTCAGGTCCGGAACTTTATTATTTATAACTGCATTGTGTCCATCAGTGGGCATCTTCTCTATCTGTTTTTGGGATGTGGGGAGGGTTAATTGTAGTATCTTTGATTTGTATAAAAGTATTTTGCTTTACTATAGTTCCTTTTTGCCTTTTTCCAGAGAATTACTGGAATTTCTTTAGATTTTTACTAGTAAAGAGTAGCTTGATATTTATAGAATTAATTGCAATTCTTCATGAAGAGTTGTTTAGCTTCTAAGAAGCTACTGGGCAAAAAGAAAGGGAAGAAGGGTGATGTAAGAATGTTTAGTTTACTGTTGTATTTTTCAATGTAATTTTAGCTATTATGATTTGATTTGAAATTTCAGCAGAATTTTGTATAAATTTGAAATTTAGCCACTGTATTCCAGTGGCCTAAACTTACTAGGATTTAGTAATTTATTATGTGAATGGTTGGGATTATTCCATGCTGTTGATCTATTTGTTGTGGTTTGTTTGACATAGGTTTTATTTTTTGTTTTTTGTTTTTAATTTTTTTATTTTTCCCATCTACTGTTGTGAATTTATATCAACAACTCCAAATTAATCCTCTTCGGTATTTTATTTTTCAGCTCCTCTTTTGACTTGGACTATGACTTTCAACGGGATTATTATGACAGGTATGTTAAGGTTTTTTTGTGGGTCTTTTCTGGTAAAATGCCATCTCTAGTTTAAACATTTTATTTCTCTATTTTGTAGTAACAACTTTCCCCTTTTGTAATAATGAACATCAGATGTGTTCAAAGTCTACTTTTTCTGTGAAAACAAAGTGAAACTTTCTTCTAAATAGACATTTAAATTGATTTTTAAAGAATGAATTTGATATGTCTAGTCTTTTCTGGACTAACAGTTTTTCTTGATAAGTTGGTAAAGTGTTTTTCTATTTGTTTTTATTGGTATGCCAAGTAAGCGTAAAGGAGAACTGACCTGTCTAGTCATGAGATGGAATTTACAGCTTCATGTTCTCTCATGTTACATACTTGCCACTTGGCTTTGTGTTATAGGCAGTTACACCAAAGTGATATGAAGGTATCCTTAATCTTAAAGCCTTAGTCTCCTTTTATCAAACCAATTTCTTGTGCCTTCAGAATAGCATTTGTGTTTATTGGTGAGTGATTGGAATGAAATTTGGATATGTGTGGACATAGAGAGGCCATGGATGGGCTTTGAATGATAGATTTAGACCAGGTCATGTTGAAATTAGTTACCAGAAAATATCTGCAGAAGTGTTATTATCACATTTGTATTCTGTATAGTGTTGGTATAAGAGAATCTTTTATTTGACTTGCTACTTTTAAAATTGTGTTTTTGTAGATGATGCATAAGAAATTCCAATTCGCTCTGTATCTGCTTTTTTTTTTTAATTAAACAGCTTTTTTTGGATTTGGGAGTGTTTTCAAAAAAGTAAAGTTAACTGATTAACTGAGCTGATCTATCATGCCAAGATAAAAGGACAAGTCAGCTAGTAAGCATTATGATGAAAGACTTGAATCTGTTTATTTTACATATTTGAGAAATCGCAAATAGTATCTAGTCACTTAAAAGGCTAGAAAATTAGAACTGGAAATGCAGTTTGGAGAACTGCATTATAAAGGGCCTTGAATGTCATATCAGTAAATGAGTCTCCATATTTTATCAGAATGGTTATTTCATTTATTTTAAAGATTTCTTCAGATTATTGTGACTGCTTCAACACAGTTTTGAAAACTAATGAAGCACTTTAAAAGTCTTAATAAAAGGCACACATCATAGTAATACTTAATGTTGCCCAACTATATCTGTGGGAGTTCTTATACACCCACTCTTGGTAGATTTAAATATTTGTGTGGGTTTTTGCTTGTTTTTTAAAGCTCCCTAAGAATTCCAAATATCTAGACAAGGGTGAGAACCTATGACAACATAGAATAAAAAAATTGTTTTATTTCTGTGATGCTTATTTCTTTGTCAATAATTCCCTTTAGAAAACTTTATTATACTCATTTGGGTGAGTGTAATTTCGTTTGGTAGTATTAGTAAAGCAGCAAAACTTTGACCATCTTATCTCTTTGTATATAAGTACGTTTGGGGGAAAAATTTAAGTAAGAAATTTCTGAAGGGTTAATTGATGAAAGTAGTGATACAGAAAGCAAGAAATAGTGAAGGAATTTAGGTTTTTGCAGAAATATCTTTAAATTCTTATCATTGCTGTTTGGTCCTAAAAACTGGTGACCCTAAGACTGGTATCTTTGCTTTTCTGTGTTTCAGCAGGCAGGGCAAATACTCTGTTAGTTATTCTCTGTATTGCTTGATATTTAGCACATCAGTGAAGAGTAATGTCTTTCCCTTTCCATTCTAATCTCAGCCAATTTAATAGAATGATCAAATAGATGCTGGCAAAAAAAAAAATGATTCAGTACAATACAGAGGACTGGAAGAGAAATGAACATGTAAAATTAAGAATTTTAAGTGAATGCATCTTTGGAACTAAAGAGAAATTAGATTTGTTTTGTATGGTTGTTGTATAGGAAGCTGAAAGAAAGTGCTCTATTGTCAGTGGGGATTTGTCTGCCCTTTGGCAGATCCAGAGGGTATTTTTTTATGATTGGAAGGTACTAGGTTAAGTAGTTAGACCTGGGTATTATTGTTGAGTAGGACCTAATACAGAGAGGGGAAAAAATTCAGCAAGATGGAATAGTTTCCTCTCAGAAGTCTTTCTGTAGGTGTAAGGTTAAAATAATTGTTTCTCATGTTGTTAATAACAGTTACCCTCAACTGTGATGAATTCTCTTTTGCAAGAAGGTAGAAAATTTGCTCTGAATTTACGTGAAAACTAGGCTTTCTATTTCTAATTGGGGATTAAGTCAGTGTTTACTTGTCCTTTTTCTCCCTTAGTTCTTCCACTAAGAACATGAAATTTATGTGACCGTTGCTAGACATAAATTTCACTTATTATTGCAACCAAGTTTTACCTGTTACATACACTATGGTAGCTACTAAGGAAGTAAGGAAAGAACAGTTGAGGAATACAAAGATATCACTTAGTGGTATTATAACCACAGTCATTAATGTTACATCAGTTTCCCTGTACTTGAAGTACAAGGAATGCCTACTCACAGGGTTGATAAGACTAAAGGAAGAATAAAAGAAATTGCATTACAAATGACCCCAAAATAACACTCTTCAGACAGTCAGGAATTCCCAACCATGTTAATTTTATTATCAAACCTCCACATACTTGTTCCTCCCTGCTGGTACAAGGGGGTTAAATTAGCACAGCACTGTGAAGCTATCTGCAGCCACTGCAGCCCAAGTTTGATCCCCAGCCAGGGAGCCAACCCACAAATGGTGCAGCAGACCTCTTCTGTCTCAGCTGCTGCTAGCCTCAGCAGTGTTTCTAAGTTAGTCTGCCTGTTCAGTTATCCACAATGTCTCTGGTGAATCCTCTCACTTCCCCACCCTGTATGTCTGGCCTGTACCCCAGTTCTTATATGCATAAATAAATAAATCTTTAAAGAAATTAAAATCTCCACATACTTATGTTAAAATGATTAAAAATTATACTTCTGAATTAGTAACTTATGAACCTTATTAACTGCATACATGCGTTAACTACTGCATGTTTGCTTGATACTGTTTAAAGATCAAAATGAAGGGATTTATGGACTTCCCATCACTTGCCACCCTAACCTAATAGCTTTAGCACAACTAGCATTCTTAAATGTGTGGCCACCGTCTTAGAAAATAATGCACAGTAAAATAAAGGTTGGTTGATGAATTTTCTAAACATTCTTTTATTAAATGGCTACTATAACTTTTTTTCTATTACATTTCAGTTCACATAACATTAAAAAGAAAATAGTATACTAGTAAAAAATAAAGACTTTCTATAAACATAACCATAAAATCACTTATTTTATAAACATAACAATAAAATCATTATCAAAATAATAAAATTCCTTGATTTAATTTCATCCATTATCCTGGTTAGTTTTCCAAAGTTGGTTTTGCAGGTTGTATTTTGTGTTCTTCAATATATTCCTAGAAATTGCATGAATGATTCAACTGCCTGATTAGATTCATATTCTTTTTTTAGTTTTTAACTAATGGCATTGGTGGAGAACTGAGAAAGGAAACCAGAGTACTTCATAAAGTTGTTAGACATTTTAATCATTATCAGCCTAACTCTTGAATAAGAATGTAGATGTTGATTGTAAAGGGAAAACATTTTTTTTAATTATTACAAAAGTTTATTTTTACATCATTTTGCACATTTTTTTTCCATCTCGATTGTAGTCCCCGCGGGTTTCCCATTACCAAATCATCCGTGTGCCACCACCATAGTCCCATGCATTTCCCTCCCCCCCCCCT